GTGTGGGTGTGGGTGTGTGTGTATAGACATATCATACCGTAGGCTTTATGTATACGTTTTAGAATTCCATAACACTAATTAAAAATGAAATATATAATATAGGCCTATATACTTTACATCAGTGATATTTTAACTGCATGTACTGAAAAGTTAACGAGTAGAATTATGGAATAATTACTTTTTATAATCTCAAAAGTCAATTTGATTTTTACTCTAGGCATAGCTATCTAATACATTCATATATTAAATCATATGTTATCACTCAGTCACGATAAACATCAAAATTATTTTAAATGTGCAACCAATATTTCATTATGTTATATTAAATTTATACTGTAATGTAACACAGAAATATTAAGAATTATTTAATTAAAATGACTTTATTGCTGAAGTATACTAATATATTGTAACTGTACATATCTCTCTTATTGTATTAGTCTTTGATCTCGGAATTGCATTATAGTCTGTATTTTTTTTAACAATAATGTATTGTAACATTCTCGCAATTGAAACTTTAACTGCAATGATGTGAAATAAATAAATCTTGAATCTGATCTCATATTGACATAATTTATAATATATACTATTATTGAACTATATCTTAACAATGTAGGCAGCGCTGTTAGGCCTAAAGGAAGCTAATGAGGTATGTGACGAGAATGCCGTCAATATTTGCTTACTGTGCAGTGATTGTTTGCGACGTTGCTTTATCAATGAGTCTTCTTTCGATACCGAGACTTTGATTGGGTTTATTTTAGTCATCGATAGATTCTGAAGCATCTGTTAAAAAATGAAAATACATTGATTTCATTACCATATCAAATACAAAGCTGCTATCAGTTTGCGATATATTGTACATTTTATTTAAATAATTAAATAATTCATATTAATTTAAATCAAATTTATTTATATATTTTATTTTTTTTTGTTTGATATTGAAATGTTTAAGATTTATAATATATGTAAAAGTAATATTAAAGGATAAAAACATTTAACATTAATATTAAAGGATAAAAAACGCAGAAACGTACAAAAACAACTTATTAACACTGTGCGCATGCTCTAAATGGAACAGAGCTCAAACTAATCAGAACTCCGTTCCGATTTTTTTTTTTAGTCAACCCAACGATTTCACTTACCTAAATTAATCAAGTGGTGTTATTTTTATAGTTTAGTCTATGAATATATAATAATGACAGTTAGGCCTCTTAACGTGAAAGGCAACGACAATCATTGCATTTTTGTTGTATGTTTTTCATTTTGATTCGATTTAACCTCTGTACCAAAATTCACACAACGTGTAATTCGAGGAATAGTGGTGATCACAAAAAATTCCCAGTTTATTTTTTCCCAGCTTATTATAAGGTTTAATTGTTACCCCACCCCCATTATACGTTGCATGAGAAATATGTAATGTTTAGGCCTACCAACATTTGACTACAAGAATTCCCAAATTTTGCTAACATAAATTGAGGAGTCCGAAGTCTCTCCAAACTCGTGGGAGGCTCCTGCACTTCCGCGGAAAGCAATCTCCCGGAAATTTAACCCATCTCTGCAAATTCGTAATTTTGCATGTTTTCACTGCTTTATTATCACGGAAGTCAGTGCCGATGGGTATTACTTTGTGCAGCAAAACAAGATTAAATGTGTTAGAAAGCTCATTAACCTATCAGTGGTGAATGATTCAAAGAAGGTGGGTGGAGGGTAGGGAGGGGAGAAGCCGGGGTCACCTGAATATTTCTAAATACAGAATATATTTCTAAATAAAGAATATATTTCTAAATAAAGAATATATTTCTAAATAAAAAATATATTTCTAAATAAAGAATATATTCAAATAGTGGGCCATTTCTAGAAATGACTTCTTCTAACTAGGGCCCCTGCTTTCCCACTCTTCAATACAGTAGGACTATATTTATTAATCCTAATACAGTAGGACTATATTTATTAATCATGGACACTGATTACCCACTACGGAACTAACCCGAAGCACATGACTTGCACGAATATTAATATTGATTGTAAACATTCCCAGGCAATTGACCTTAATATAAGTTTTCAAATGATGAAAAGAAAGTTATGCAGTATCAATAGTTTAATCGTTAATCTAATGAAAAAATGAGTTCTTTTTATAATATTCATTTTAATTTTTTTTTTAAATAGACCCACTGAATTAAATAACAGAAACTCTAACGAAAGCTAGTAGACCTAGACTGAATTGAACAACAGAAACCTCGCGCTAACTCACATGCACTTGTGTGTCTATTTCAAATAATTGTCGGCGTTCGTAGCCTATGTGAATCGCCGTGATCCATAGGTTTCAGAACGGTGCACTAAAATCTTCATGCCTACCGGTATAATACAGTATCTCTTTGATATGGTGACCCTATAAACCATCATGCTGTCTCGGCCTAGATCCTTGACTAGGGCCCCGGAATCTCTGGGTGGGGTCTAACCTCCTACGGGGAATTCCCTAGTAATTGAAAGGGGTCAGAAATTGTGGACTTGTAGGGCATATTTGATAACATTAGGAATGTTTTAGTATATATATAAGTAACTCTCGCATTTTAAATTACCCATTTTATATGTGTAAATGAAATTTAACAACAAAAAATTATTCTTTTAATCTTTATTTGGCTATTTAAAACATTAAATATGTTAATTTCTTTAAATAATGCTTTTTGTAAATTTTGACATTTAGCGTTGAACTTGTGCTATTGTGCTATACAAATTGGCAGTTATTCTACTACTACTAACTACTACTACTACTACTACTTTGAACTTTGAACTTGAACTTTTACTTTTGTAGTAAAAAAAATCCGCTATGAATATTCATTACAAAAGTTTGGTTTGCGGATTGATACGTGTGTGACCCATCTCCTCTCTTTCGAAAGTGGCTGTTGAAACTAGAAGGTTGGTATAATTTTTTAGCTGGTGTTTAAACTTTTATTCTACTGTACTCGCTGTGATTTATGCATACAGGCAATCGTCAAACTAATTGTGTTTCAGAATCCTGCCAAAGCATGTTGCTAAGTGCTATGGACGTCGACTCGAGTCGAAATTAATATCTAAAAAGTCTAATCACACAGAATATTCATTTAAATATTGAAATTGTATTCATGAAAAATAAAAAAAAATTTAAAAAATCTTTAAAACCGTCTGTATATATTGTTTACATTTTGTAAAACTGTAAACAATGAAGAAATCTATTTGAGTGAAAAAACCAATTTGTCTCATTATATTTTTTGATTTGAAAAAAAAGCATAACTGTATAAGATATTATTGGTCTAATTAATAAAATGAAATGCTGAAAATGTCAAGCTGAGCTTTAATAATACAATGTGAAAATGTATGTTATTGAATCGATCTTCCTAACTGGACCCGTCGGTTGCGTCGACCCTTTGTTACTGGCCCTAGCATA